GCACACCCCAACGGCTGGCCCTGCTGACACACATTGATGTTAGTACTTAGAAATCCCTCAATATTAATACAGACATCAGAGTAAACACCAATAAACTGTGGAAACAAAGCTGATCCCCCCAAATTTATAAAGATTTGCTTAGTGGATTTGTTGTAAGATTAAATCATGCCTCCTCCTCTCTCTCTCCCATGCGCTGCTCTGTAGGCTGGGAGGAAGTGAAGAGTAATCACATTCTCCCAGCACAGCGCCACCTGTGGCTGCAAGGGGAACAGCTGTTTAATGTAATGCTTGCAGGACGGCCAGCTGCCGCAGAATCTCTTTGTTCCCGTCTCTGCAAAGGGCTCCAGGCACTGCTTGTTGTGAGTGTGAGCCACTGTAAATTAGGAGCAGAGGGCACTTGCACTGCAGTAAAGACAGGTCTGGGCAGGAGGAGAGTGCACTCCCCTCCTGTGGGTCACCAGTAGACTGGTGCACCTGCCCAGGATCAGAGCTGGTGCAAGGATTTTTGCCGCCCTAGACAAAAGAAAAATTTGCCGCCTCCCCCATGTGACATCACAATGCCCCACCCATATAATCTGCCATATGAACTAACGCCAGTGCTGCACACAGTGTGTGTTTACATTAAAAAGCCTGCAGGGACCGGCTATAGACACCAGAACCACTTCATTAAGCTATAGTGTCCCTTTAATGTGAGGTAAATTATAGATTAGTGTCACTAATAATATACTAGATTGCCTACTTACAACCAGATGAGGATGATGAAGGGCTGCAGTTTGGCTCCACTGGTCTGGTGTAGAACAGGATATCTGGAGGCTGTTTGCAACTGTGGTCACAAAATTCAGTGTTCTGGGAGAATTGGAAGCAGCTCCATTTTTTGGGGGCCCCTTACACAGCTCAAGGTCTGGGCCCCAGGGCCTGACGGTGAGTATGCCCATAAGGCCCACTCATAAGTCCACTTATATGTTCCACCCACCCATGAGTTCGCTCACAGGGAGTGGAGTGTGTAGGGGATGTGTTATGTTATTGTGGAGGATCTAATATGTGTGCTTATGGTATGTAGTATATAGGGATACCAGTTTGTGTAGGTGATGCAGTGTGTTTGTGTGTAGTGGAAGCAGTGTGTATTTGTGTATAAGGGATGTATTATGTGTTTCTGGTTGTGTGTAAGGGATGCATTGTGTGAATCTGTGTTTGTATGCATAAGGGATGCAAGGTGTGTGTCTGTATGTGTGTGCATTGAGTGTAAGAGATGCATTGTGTTTCTGTGTGTATGTAAGAAAATCAGTGTGTGTGTTTGCATGTATGTGTAAGGGTTTGCATTGTGTGTTTCTGTGTATGTGTGCAAAGGATGCATTGTCTTTGTGTGTAAGGGTTGCATTGTGTGTGTGTGTAATGGATGCATTGTGTGTTTCTCTGTGTGTAAGGGAAGCATGTTGTGTTTCTGTGTGCGTAGGGATGCATTGTGTGTTTCTGTGTATGTATAGGGATGCATTGTGTGTGTGTGTGTGTGCGCGTAGTGTGAAAGAGCTCCCTGTCTTGCCCCCTGTCCTATAGAGCTGTCCCTTCTGTCCCTTAGAGCTCTCCACTGCCCCTTAGTGGTCTCTCCTCTCCCCCACCCTCCCCTAGCGGTCTCTTCTCACACTCACCCACCCTCCCTGTGCTCTTCTCATCCCCCCTCCACCCTCCCTGTATTCTTCTCACTCCCCCCTCCATGTGTTCTCCTCACCCCCCGTGTTCTTCTTACCCCCCTCCTCCCTGTGTTCTTCTTACTTCCCCCCTTGTTCTTCTTATTCCCCCTTGTTCTTCTTGCTCCCCCACCTGTTCTTCTTATCCCCCTTCTTCTTACTCGCCCCTTCTTCTTTCTCCCCCTTCTTCTTATTGCTCCCCCCTTCTTCTTACCCCCTCTTCTTCTTCTTACCCCCCTCTTCTTCTTCTTACCCCCCTCTTTTTCTTACCCCCTCCTACTTCTTCTTACTCCCTCCTACTTCTTCTTACTCCCCCTTCTTCTTCTTCTTCCCCCCTTCTTCTTCTTCTTCTTACTCCCCTCTTCTTCTTTACCCCCTTCTTTTCTATCTCTTTCTTCTTCTTACTCCCTTCTACTTACCCCTCTTCTTTCTTGCCCCCTTTCTTCTTCTACCCCTCTTTCTTCTTACTCCCACTCTTCTTTCTTCTTACTCCCTTTTTCTTACTTCCCCTTCTTCTTTCTACCCCTCTTTTTCTTCTTATCTCCTCCTTCTGTACTCCCCCCCTTCTTCTTACTCTCTTACTCTCTCTTTCTTTTCTTACTCTCTTCTTACCCTTCTTTCTTCTTATCCCTTCTTTCTTCTTACCTCTTTCTTTCTTACTTCCCTCTTCTTTCTTAATTTCCCATCTTCTTCTTACCTTCTTCTTACCCTCCTTCTTACTCCCCCTCTTCTTCTTACTACCCCTCTTCTTCTTCTTACTCCCCTCTTCTTCCTCTTACCCCCCTTCTTCTTACTCCCCCTTCTTCTTCTTACCCCCTCTTTTTCTTATCTCCCCTCCTTCTTTCTCCCCCTTCTTCTTCTTACTCCCCCCTTCTTCTTCTTACTCCCCCCTTCTTCTTCTTATCCCCTTTTTTCTTATTCCCACTTCTTCTTCTTCTTCTTCTTACTCCCTTTCTTTTTCTTACATTCTCTTCTTCTTCTCCCCTTCTCTTCTTACTCCCCTTCTTCTTACTTCCCCCTTTCTCTTTCTTATCTTCTCCCTTCTTCTTATCCCTTTCTCTTTCTTACCCCTTTCTTCTTCTTCTTAACCCCCCTTCTTCTTATTCTCCCCCTTCTTCTTCTTACCCCCTCTTCTTCCTCTTCCTCCCCCTTCTTCTTCTTACTCCCCCCATTTCTTCATACTCCCCTTCTTCTTACCCCCTCTTCTTCTTCTTACTCCCTCTTCTTCTTCTTACTCCCCCTCTTCTTCTTCTTACTCCCCAGTCTTTTTCTTACTCACCCCTCTTTTCTTCTTACCCCCCTCTTTTTCTTATCTCCTCCTTCTTACTTCCCCTTCTTCTTACTTCTCCTCTTCTTACCTTCTTCTTCTTACTTCCCTTCTTCTTTTCTTATCCCCCTCTTTTTCTTATCTCCCCTCCTTCTTACTCCCCCCTCCCTCTCTTCTTACTCCCCCCCTCTTATTACTCCCCCCTCACCCTCTTCTTACTCCCTCCTCCTTGAGTTCCTACAAGGGTAAGTATGCACCCCCCTAACTTTATTTAAAGGGACACTAAAATCATCAAAACAACTTTAGCTTAATGAAGCAGGTTTGGTGTATAGATCATGCCTCTGAATTCTCACTGCTCAATTCTCTGCTATTTAGAAGTTAAGTCATTTTGTTTATGTTTATGCAGCCCTAGTCATAGCCACACCTCCACTGGCTGTGACTGACAAAAAATTGAGCGGGGAGGCATTACTTATTTACAGGTTTATAAGGGGGGACATTATAAATTAAAGTGAAAGATGCAATAAAATGGGTTTTTAATTAGGCCAAACAAGCTGAGTTGGTCTAGATAGGATAATTTGGTCTACAATTTGTAATTCCCTTGACGATTCATTACAGTTCTGACTATAGTGAATGGGCCCTAGGTGGTCACCTAATGAGTAATCAGGCTCTGTCCTCCCAGAGAAAACTTTCAAACCATTTTAGAAGAGTTTGACAACGTAGCTTGTTCCTCTAGGTGCCTGCAGAGCTACTACCCTAACTAACAGTTTTAAAAATGATTCTGATAGGGTACCAGGACACTCTTGGCACGATAACCACTATGGCGAGTGCACTATGGTGCTTGGAATGTTTGTGTAACCCTCTACTCAAATAACATCATTGAAATGAAGGGTAATGTTACAACCGCATACTTTGCTAATCATATCTATGGCATAGCAATCAATCCAATAGGAAAAAAATAACTCCAAAAATGCATTTTGACATTTCAGACAAATTAAAAATTAAGAAATGGATAAAAATGCATGCCTCTTTTAATGTCTCGGAAATTGTGATTAACCACCAAAGCAAATAAAATGTAATCAAAAGATATCTGAAGCAATCTGTTCAGTAGACTCTTCTGCTAATGCTTCTCAAATTTCCGAAAAAGGTCAGTTAGAGTTTACCCCAGGGGAACAAGTGAATGGTGTTAGAAGTGCGAGTGTCTGTATGATGGTGTGTCCTAGGGGAAGATACTGAGTTAATGGAAGTAGGACATATTTCCTATTAATTCCTGCAATACACATACTTTGACATATTTATATACAATATATAGATACAATTACAATTATTTATGTAACGCCAACATATTACACAGAGCTGTACAAAAGGTAAACAAGACAAATATTTACAGTAGGTGAAACTGTAAGATATTTTTAATACATATTCATGTAACCAATGACACAAAAGATTACTGTATTTGCTACAAATGATTTTGATTTGTTCTCAGGTCCCAATGCCTATGGGTAATCACAAAATATATAGGAATGTGTCAGTGTTTCGTCCAGCATAATCTATTGTATATATATATATATTACTATATGTGGATTTTTCTATTTCAATGGGTCTATTCTCTACACAATTTGTGATAAATAGAAAGACATTTATCAAACTATTGTATACTAAAAGTGGTGGTACCAGCAGGTCTATTCCTTTGGTGACTCTTCTCCATTTAAATTAACGTGTTAGTTAGTGTGTTAGTGTGATTGGCAATAATGTAACAGAGAGTAATGGTTGCTTGGATGGTGATGGTATAATGGGTAGAGATGGATGTTGGGGTGGTGATGGTATAATGGGGAGGGATAGTTGTTTGGGTGGTGATGACTACTAGAGGTGCTTCCTGAGTCAGTGCTGAACTTTCCTCATAGGGATGCATTGTTTCAACGCATCTCTATGAGGAGATGCTGATTGGCTAGGGTGGTGTTTGGCTTGTGCTGGCTCTGCCCCTGCTCTCCCTCCTTGACAGTCTCAGCCAATCCAATTATTTCCTAATAGAAAGCATTGTGATTGGCTGAGAGGTACACTTCTGATGATGTCAGCCAAGCAGGCAGATCAGGACCAGCACCAGCAGACTGGACTAAAAGTAAGATTTTACTATATTTAGGGAGGTAAGGGGGGCATGGAGGTTAGATGGTATTTTTAACACTATAGGGATAGGAATATATGTTTGTAGTCCTGACCCTATAGTGTTTCTTTAACAAAAGTTGATCAGCTACAGCAAAACAGGTCAAGTTAGATTTTCTAATCTTGAGCTCCTTTCTAAGACAATAGTCAATTCCAAAATCAAAGAATATAAAAGCTGATTGACACACACTATGACATCACACTATGACATCACTAAGTACTTCACATCTTGCATTTCAAATGAGTCTTAACATTCAAGTGAAAGGGAGTAAGAAGGTAGAGGCTGATTTTAAAAGAAAGAAAAATTCTGAAAGATTTACTGAAGGTGCAAAGACATACCACAAGTATTAGCAGGTTTGGTGAGGTCCATTATTGGCTGTATTTACTGCACCATGTCGTACACCTTTCGCTTCATTACGCCTCTTACCATTCAGGTTGATCGATCAGAGAAACGATCAGAGTAGATCAATACTAAACTCCCACCTACAGGTTTATTTTATTGTGACGAGTCAAAGTTGCATTCATCATATGTATTAGATAATACATTGCATTCCATATACTGATAGAAAAATAAAATTAATAATAACTATTCTCACAGTGACATCTGCCCATCTTAAAACATAAAAGGGAAAAAAACACAAACTCCATATTGGAATTTGGAACCTGGTGACAATATTTGGATTAGGAGTATATCAAGGAGTGCTTCCATGTCAGAATTTGTAATAACCCTCTGATGAGCTAGTGGATTTGCATTCAGTCTTAAGTCTGTTCTTACTGATTCACTGAATTCCAACCTCACCATAAAGATGCTTGAATACAAACATTTTAAATGCATCATCTTCCTGGACAAGCAATTCCATGTAAAAATGTGAATATATTCCCGATGTCTAGAATGTGACCTGAGAGAAATTGACCTGTACCACCGCTTCTGGTCCTGCTAACAAATAAATGTGTTTTTGGGACTTCCCGACGGCATATGTCACCCAATTCTTGCACATTGCTTCCCCCTGGTCTCCTGAACTGGGAATTACTGGCTATGTCTCAGACCCACCACATACACTTCCCAAATGATCAATCATTGTAGCTGCAGTGGCAAGGAAATCAATTTTTAAATCTAACCCATAGCATACTTTTTGTATAGGTTTGCTGGAGACTTGTAATCATTAAAAAAAAAAATTACCAAAAAATGTGCCAAAACCTGGCAACCGTATATTAACTCCCTTGATCTCCCGTACAAAATGAAAAACGTTTCAACACACCAATTGGTACTCACACCAAATCTTACTAAATTGTCATCCTTTTATGGATTGATTAACATTCCTTGCAAGACCAGGAGCCAGCGTTTCATTTTTTTTCCCCTTTCTTTTATATCTTAATTCTTGGAGATCTTTCTCCTTCTTGTGGAGTCTGCTAGGTACCAGTATTGCCTTTTCCTATTACCTGACAGGCACCAGAGGTTCTTGGCCTTTATTTTAAACATTACTTGTTTTCTTTGTATTGTTACAATTTACAATTTTATTTTATTATATGACCCATGGGTTGAATATTCATCATATTTCTGACTCTGTGTCAACACTATTTATTTTGATTATTTTCCACCACACTGCTGTGCATTTCTTGCTTTTGCAATATCCATAATTTTGTCAACTTTGATCTTTAAAATAACTGCTAACCTGTGTTTTTTCGAATTTGACTGTCACAATCGCTACACCTTTGTGTCAAATGTATAATGTCATTTGCTCCTTTGATGTAAAACTTCAATAAAGATTAAACATAGAGAAAATAAATAATAAAAATGTTTGACCATAAATGTATCATTTTTATATAATTCTATTATGTTCATATTGGTGGTAGTCCTATGCAACATCATTGTTGAATGGGGAGTTCTGACACGGGTATTTCCTGTCTTGTTTAACTTAAAGGACCACTATAGTGCCAGGAAAACATACTTGTTTTCCTGGCACTATAGTGCCCTGAGGGTGCCCCCATCCTCAGGGTCCCCCTCCCGCCGGGCTCTGGGGAGAGGAAAGGGGTTAAAACTTACCTTTCTCCAGCGCCGGGCGGGGAGCTCTCCGCCTCCGATCCTCCTCCTCTCCTCCCTTTCGGCTGAATGCGCACGCCCGGCAAGAGCTGTGCGCGCATTCAGCCAGTCTCATAGGAAAGCATTCATAATGCTTTCCTATGGACGCTGGCGTGCTCTCACTGTGATTTTCACAGTGAGAATCACGCAAGCGCCTCTAGCGGCTGTCAATGAGACCACTAGAGGATTTGAGGGCTGGATTAACCCATTTATAAACATAGCAGTTTCTCTGAAACTGCTATGTTTATAAAAAAATAGGTTTACCCTAGCTGGACCTGGCACCCAGATCACTTCATTAAGCTGAAGTGGTCTGGGTGCCTAGAGTGGTCCTTTAAATATAACTAAGTTATTTTGAAGATCATTTTTGTTGCTACTATTGTGTATCTGGCACAAATTTCACAGCTCAAGATACACTGAGTAAAGGATACAATAACAAAACACAGTTTGCCATACAGAAACAGGCTTGTGTGATTTAACCACAAACTGACAAATAACAGAAAAATATTTCACATGAAAACAAGCTATGGATGGATGTCATATTACCACCCCTTAAACCAAAAGGAAAACCCTTTTCCAATTGGCTATGTTTATTGTGGTGTTTATGCCAAGATTGTGAGATGGCCAAGGCCCCGTCAGAGTGTGATCTACTTGTTAAATGATTGTTTGGTATTGCTTCTAGAAATATCACCTGGACATTTCGCTTTGAGCTCCTTGTCATCGCTCCACAAGCTGCACACCTTTGACATCTGCACAACCTTAAGTCTATATTCTGTAATCATAACTACTAAACCAGGGATAGGCAACCTTTTTGCACTCCAGATGTTGCGGACTACATCTGCCCTGATGCTTTGCCAGCATTATGTCTTGAGAGCATTATGGGAGATGTAGTCCACAACATCTGGGCTGCCGGTTGCCTACCCCTGTAGCATGATAGTACTCTTATAACATGGCACATTACATTATTTCAGGCGGAACACTCGGGTGGATATTTATCAAAGAATTCTGAAAGTTGATGGTTTAATTCCGTTATTATTTTGACTGTATCAATTACATTGGTCTAAAAAGTTACATTCTTCATAATATATTCCATCAGTTTTTTTTTTTCCAGAAAATTCCATTTCCGAACACCGCCAAATTTACAGTTGCTAGAAAACCAGAAGTTAAACTGATAGAAATCTGTAGTCTTGGGTTAAAAATGGCATATATATATATATATAAAAAAAGAAAATGTCAGCAACATTTTGATAAATGTCACCTGCTGTCACTCACCAGATAATAATTAGCATAAAAGGGGATGGTGGGTAGTGGTGGGATTCCCCAGTGCAATGGAACCCATTTTGACACTAATGAAGGTTCTTTGTAGAATATATTTTAGGATACATCATTATGAAGAGTCATGTATATTCTGTGTAGCTGTATGAGGGCTGATGTGGGTGTTCCAGGTGCAGTATGCACTCTGTCACACAGGCTGGAGCAAACAGACAGAGCTAGTAGCAGCCATGTGATATCCCCTCTCTCTGCTGCAGCAACACAGGGGAGGGCGTGACGTCACCCAGTGCAAATCCAAGGAGGAGCTGAGCATCTCATCAACCCCTTCCCCCCTCCCAAACCAGCGGAGTTGCTGGTGCTGAGGCTGCTAGTTGGGCAAGGGATACAGAAAGAAAAACTTTTGCTTTGGGGTAATCACAGTGGATGACAGGAGCCTCCTTCACATGCCCGCCAGTCATCATCCTGGAGAATTGCTGCTGTCATCCGCAGACACCATTCATGATCAGTCAGCTGCTGCAGATCCGGGAGGAGAGCTCCGGCTTCCATCAGTGGCAGCACAGTCACAGCTGAGCCGATCGAAGCAGCCAGTCTTCCATTGCCATTCACTGTGCTGGGAGAGATCAGAATGCTCTGCGTGTCTCTTCTCCTCTGCTGAGTCATGGACCAGACTGTGGGATAACCTCTCCAGCCCTGGATCGGGAACTGTGCTGCTCTCTCTAGCTACTGCCTGGCTGGGGGTCACTTTGCTGCTACCCTTATAAAAACCCTGTAGGGTCTACGTGCTGCTCCTTCTAGTTCCAGCCCTGGGGTCTATGTGCTGCCCCTTCTAGTACCAGCCCTGGGGTCTATGTTCTGCCCCTTCTAGTACCAGCCGTGGGGTCTACGTGCTGCCCCTTCTAGTTCCAGCCGTGGGGTCTATGTGCTGCCCCTTCTAGTTCCAGCCCTGGGGTCTATGTGCTGCCCCTTCTAGTTTCAGCCCTGGGCTCTATGTGCTGCCCCTTCTAGTCCCCCCTCCAGCGTCTGCCTACAGACTGTCACTATGATAGCTGCTGCCTTCCTGGTGTTCCTCAGACCGTACAGCATCCAATGTGCCCTCCTCCTTCTGCTCCTCATGTTGGGGACCATAGCCACTATCTCCTTCCTTCTCTGCTGGCATCGCAAGCTCCAGAAAGAAAAATATCCCATCAAGACAGTGTTTGGTGGTCGAGCCAGGAGCAGAGGTAGGACATGTAAGGAAACTCCTTTATAGTATCTAATGTCATGTTTCGTGCGTGTGATGTGTGTGGTGCCTGTCAAAGTAATTTCAATATCACATTTCAAGTTAAAGGTACTTAGATTCCTCTACAGACACATTTCTCCTCACCCATGACATACTTCATAGAGTCACCAGGGATTCTAATATGTGATCACTCCTGGGAAAATAATATGCAGTGTCTTAACCTGATTTCCCAGCTTAGTGCCGAAGAAGAGGCTGGCACAGTGTATATGTGGCAGCAGCCCCTAAGAGGATCTGATTCATTTTAGAAACATTTTTTAGGACACTTCCAGCAGGACTGCGGCAGACAAGTCTCCACCCATCCTCCTTGAAATTGGAGCAAGTTCAGTGGGGGAGATATTTGGCCAGTCTGGAGATGACAGCACTACTTATCCACTGGACATCCCACTGTATACAGTGGAACATCTCACATTCTTTAATTAGTTGGTACATTTCCAGCTGTGCCCTTGAACCAGCAGATTAGCATGATGCTTTTTTTTTTTTTTTTTTTAGGAGGATTTATTTCTAATCCAAACCAAAAGTGAAAGGACTGAAGCTGATAGTGTTTTTCTTTTCTCTTTTTCCAGATGCCATCCTGAGGTCTCATCACTTTCGCTCAGAGGTAATTACATTATCTCATTATTCCAAGGGCACATGTGTTTGTGTTGGCACTCTGAAACATCACACCACACTAATGGCACTCTAGCATGTTACAATGTCCCCGATTTAATATTTTTGCATAAGCTTTTCCAGAGATATAATATTTTTCAATACACTTTTTAAATTATTTAATATTTTGAGAAATATTTTAACATGTTGATTTTTCTATAAATGTACATATATTTTTTATATAAAATATATTTTTAATATTTTGAGAACACTTTTGAAAAGGTTATTTAAAATATTTAATTATTAGAAAATAAAAAATATTAAATCAATATTAAATCAAGGCGATGTATGGATACTGCAAGCTTCAGTCTGATGTTTTGCTATATCACTCATTTATACAAATAAACTTTTTTTATATTTGTAGAAGTCCTTTACATAGTTTCACATTTGTCCACAGACTCACGCCAATGAAAATTATTATATATTTACTTTATTTTTAAATCTATGTCAGGGTTAACTGTACTATCTATATTAATTTTGACAGGGTTTACCATAAATAAATTTGATTGTATTATGTTTGCGGCCTAATAAAAAAAAAAAAAAAAAAGACACAGCAAAACTTTATGGTTTTATTACTCTACATTTCAAAGACAGATAAAGACAATAAATTGTTAAATGTAATCATCTGCAATCTGTTAAATTCATGTATATTTGGAACGATTGTAGAAGAATATCATGGCACTGGAGAGGGTCCAGAGACGAGCTACAAAATTGATAAAAGGAATGGAGCATTTTAGTTATGAAGAAAGGTTAAAAAAATTAAATCTGTTTAGTTTGGAAAAACGGCGCCTGAGAGGGGATATGATAACGTTATACAAATATATTCGGGGCCAGTACAAACCTTTATCTGGAAATCTATTCATAAACAGGGATATACATAGGACACGAGGTCACACATTTAGGCTGGAAGAAAGGAGATTTCATCTAAGGCAAAGAAAAGGTTTTTTACAGTAAGAACAATAAGGATATGGAATTCTCTGCCTGAAGAGGTGGTTTTGTCAGAGTCCATACAGATGTTTAAACTGAAATTGGATAAATACTTACAAAAACATAACATACAGGGATATAATCTCTAATTAGTGGGGTAATAGCTGCTTGATCCAAGGAGACATCTGACTGCTATTTTGGGGTCAAGAAGGAATTTTTTCCTAGTTTGTGGCAAAATTGGAAGTGCTTCAGACCAGGTTTTTTGCCTTCTTTTGGATCAACAGCAACAACATTTGTGAGGAAGGCTGAACTTGATGGACACAAGTCTCTTTTCAGCTATGTAACTATGTAACTATGTAGCCATGCATGGGTTTTTTATATTACTTTTTTATATGGTTACAATCTCAATAACAGTTAAAGTACAGCTGTACACGATTTTAAAGTAATACTCAGTGCCAATGTGGGGATTCAGGTATGACCAGTCACACACACTTCCATATACTGCAATGATCTTTCTGTTGGTCTGTACATGCACACAGTGCATTTTAGCAGGATGGTCTTATAAATGGTTAGAATACCATCCACCGAGGCTCTATGACTTGAAGAATCCCCTGTTGCCACAGGTAGAATGTAGAGTAAGGGGTATTGCACCCTGAAGCCTGACATCCTACCTTGCGTACTAGCTCACTTATATATTGTACATAGAAAATGCATGTACAAAAACAGTAGTATCATCACAATAAAACATTTTAAAAGACCTCTAGATTACCTAGAAAACATTTAGAACCTATAGCTTCTGTGTTCATGCATTACATTACGAGTGCAGAGTGTCTAAATGAAAACTCATATGCAACTGTCAGGCTGATTTACGAAAGTGAGAATTCAAAGTGAAAATAAAGTTGACTTCAAATTTAAGGCCAGACTAGCCAAACTGAAAGCATTTCGATTTTTTTCCAGTTCGGCTACTTTAGCTTTACATTTGAAATTGAGCTTGAATTCTTACATTAATGAATAACCAGAGACCTTCACAGAGTACAAGTTCTTGGACAGAAATTTGGGGGTTGAATAAAATCCAACTAATAAAGGTCCTGTGGAGAGTGCATATAAAGGGACACACACACACACACACACACACACACACACACACACACACATATATATCCAACATGGGCTTGGCATTCCTGTCCTGTTATTGCTTCGGTGCTGTTTCGTGCCCGAATACAACGTCCCAGAGAAATGCATTCAGAGGGCTTGTAGTCTTGTGCAAATGTTCAGTCAACTTTTCAGGGACTGGAAGCCCTATGAGTGCATTTCTCTGGGACGTTTTATTTATATATATATATATATATATATATATATATCTCAAAATGTAGTCAGGAATTCCCTAAAGTCCATAATTAACACCTTTGTTTAAATTACAACACGAATCAGCAGCTCTATAAAATAAATTGTCACTTTAACATGGCAAGAATTTATTGCCCTTTTCTCTCTAATAGCCTGTCCTCATCTCTTTCCTCATTCCTCACTCTGATCATTTCATATATCATAAGTACAACACAATTCTTGTTTTCCCTGTAGGCAATGGAAAATATGTAGGACAAGATTGCAGAAAAGTCAGATATAAAGAGTGTTTTATTACTTTTAACATCTGTGACAAATCAGTTAAGCAAAGGCTGTGTCATGTTATATTTGTATTAGCTCGTGGGTCCTTTAACTTTTGAGGTGTCACCTTCAGGGTTATTCACTAAACTAAGAATGCAACGTTAATTCTAAGAGAATTTCAAATTTCAGGCCAGAGTAGCCCAACTGAAAGCATAGCTGATTTTTCTAATTTAGCTTTTTTATTTTAAATTTGAAAATCAGTTTAAATTCACTTTGAATTATCACTTTAGTGCAAAGCCCTGTTTGTGTGTTTATTTCCCAATTGGTGATACTAATAAAGGAGAAAGAGGATGCCCAGCTGACACATGGAACCCAAACAATAATCTCCTAATAATGAAAAAGTCATCTATTGCAGTGGTGGAAAAAGAGTTAAAGGGACACTCTGATCACTTCATCTCATTAAAGTGCAGTGTCAAGGTCATATTAGTGCTACAGTTGCAAACTTTGCATTTTCAGAGACATTTTTACATTGCAGGGTTAAATTAATCTATAGGCTAGAAGTTAAAAAACCTTTTGTTACTTACTTGAATCCAGCGCTGATGTTCTTCAGCATGTGGGTCAGGCTTTGCCTTCACTCGTCTTTCCCCGATGTCGGCTGATGTAGGGGGACCTAAAGCGCATGCGCGACAACCCCATAGTTCAATCAATGCTTTCCTATGGGGCTTTAGCTGACACTGGCTGTCCTAATGCAGAGCGTGAGGACGTCCAGTGTCAGTTAGGCGACCTAATGTCGCCTAACGACCTGTTAGTGCCTCTAGTGACTGTCTAGTAGACAGCCACTAGAGGTGGGGTTAACCCTGCAAGGTAATAATTGCAGTTTCTCAATAACTGCAATAAATACAATTGCAGGGTTAACCTGACAGAGACAGTGCACCCAGACCACTTCTATGAGCTGAAGTGGTCTGGGTGCCTGTAGTGTCTCTTTAAGCCTGCCTCTTGTGCAAGCATGTCAAACTCAAAGTCTGGCACGGGCCACATAAACAAGGTTTATGTTTATGTGGGCCACAAAAAAAACAAAAACTTTAAATTTTCATAGAAACATAGGTTTATTTTAAAAAGTACAGTATAAAAAAAAACAGCATCCCCCTCTACTAAACCACAGCACCCCCTCTACTAAATCCCAGTCCCCCCCTCTACTAAACCATATCACCCCCTCTACCACCCTGTGCCAAATCTGATCCTCCCGCTGACACACACACACATACAGACACACTGACACACACATACAGACACACTGACAGACAGACACACATACTCACTGACAGACACACACATACTCACTGACAGACACACACACACAGACAGACACACACACACATACTGACAGACACACAAAGATACAGACATACTGACACACACACACTGACAGACACACACAATGACAGACACACACACATTCTCACTGACAGACACACACACTCACTGACAGACACACACACACACTCACCGACAGACAGACACACACACATACTTACTGACAGACACACACACACATACTCACAGACAGACACACACACATACTGACAGAGACACACACATACAGAAACACTAACAGACACATACACACTGACAGACACACACACACACACACACACACATACTCACTGACAGACACACACATACTCACTGACAGACACACACATACTTGCTAAAAGACACACACATACACACTGACAGACAGACACACTGACAGACACGCACACACACACTGACACAGACACACATACACCTACTTACACATACTTGCTCACACATACTTTTCTTTATTGCTCCCTATCATTTGTAGCTGATGTGGGGCATCTCTCTGGGGTCCTCCCTGCTCCTCACTGCTCCCTCATGCGGTTTAGTGATACTGGGTGCCGGAATATGACATCATATTCCAGCGCTTGGATTCATCACAGATGGTGCACGTGAGGGAGCAGTGAGGAGCCTCCCCGGCCGGGTAAGTTTTAGCAGAGTAGGCACCTGGAAACGCAGGTGCCTACTCTGCTATAACACCAGAATGTACTCGCGGGTCTCTGAGCCGCAAAGATTGTCCTTTGGCCCGCGGGCCACGTGTTTGACATGCTTGCTCTAGTGGCTGGCTACCAGACAGTAAGACAGTAACTAGAGGTGCTTCCTGGCCTTTCACAGAGTTTGACTCCATGAAACCTAGCTAGACGTCCTCGCACTTCTAAACCCCCATAGGAAAGTGGTGATTTAATGGGGAAGGCCTCGTTATTTAGCCAATTATTTGCCTGGGCTTTTGAGGGGAAGGGCGCGTGGCAGAGGGACGCTGTAGTATTAGGAATACAATTTTGTATTCCTAACAATATAATGTTCCTTGAAACTAACTGTGCTAATCTGTGTTTTTCTGTTTAGTGTATAAGAGATGGTGAACCCACTTTGATGCACTACATATGTAAGGTGCAATGTGCAGGCTAGATTACATGTAGTTATTCTAGATGGCTTATGTTGTTTTCATCTTCCTTAGTTTATTTTTATTAAAAAAATAGTTTTGCTCCATAATCCCTCCCAAATCTACCCCTCCCTCACTTACAGTGATTCCTGTTTTGCTCTAAAATGACTGTTCTACATAATGTGTTTATATTTCTGATATTTCTGTAGCTCACCTGTAAGCATTTTATGTTTCATAGAAATCCTTAATGTACCCAGAAAAACACAGTTACATAGTTACATAGCTGAAAAGAGACTTGTGTCCATCAAGTTCAGCCGTCCTCACATTTGTTTTTTTTTTGCTGTTGATCCAAAAGAAGGCAAAAAAACAGTTTGAAGCACTTCCAATTTTGCAACAAGTTAGGAAAAAAATTCCTACTTGACCCCAGAATGGCAGTCAGATTTATCCTTGGATCAAGCAGTTATTACCCTACATTGAAAGATTATATCCTTGAATATTCTGTTTTTGCAAGTATGCATCTAGTAGCTGTTTGAACATCTGTATGGACTCTGATAAAACCACTTCTTCAGGCAGAGAATTCCACATCCTTATTGTTCTTACAGTAAAAAACTTTCCTTTGCCTTAGACGAAATCTTCTTTCTTCCAGTCTAAACGCATGACCTTGTGTCCTATGTAAAGTCCG